TATATATATATATATATTTGAAGGGTCTGATTTCACTCCTGTCCTGCAGGTGGCAGTAGTGCGCCGCTCTTTAGCAATCACGTCACATTAGGAATACCCAGTAAACACAGCAGCAACATCAGGACGAATATTAAGCTAGTAAAGCAGGAGTTGGACAGAAAGGTGAGATTTTTTATTGTTTTCTAAGATTTCCTCTCTGTAAATTATCAAACTGCAGCTTTTTGTAAAGTATTTTAGGTTAAACCAACCCGGAACTGACTATGTATATTGCCTCCTAAACCAAGCCATCATATGTGGCATATGTTACCTTATGGATGAAAGAGAAAGTGCTAAAGGAGCATTGTAACTTATGTTAGAAACTGTAATTCAAATGAATTCCATTTACCTAAAGACGAGTGTATTCAAATATGTAATAAAAAACTAGTTAAATGTGTTTTTTAAAGCTATTGATGCGATAAATACATTTCCTAACGTTCCTAACGATTGTAGATTTAAAGAGTTGAGAAGGACAGTGATCCAGAGCTGAAGCATTAGGGACAAAGCCTCCTTTTTTAGGAGACTCTGCAGGAGGAGGTGTCTCAGATTTAAACTCAGTCAGCATACCTTGACTGGGCTCATTGATAGGTGGGTATAGGGCAGCATTCAGAGCAGGTATGTCTCTTTAAAAGCATTTATTCTTCTAAGTTTGTCAGATTTCCATGGCTATCTGTTTCCCTGTGGTATAAATACATGATTTAATGTAATCTAATGTGGGCTTCCTTCCTCTGCAGGAGTAGCTTCCCTCCAGTAGTGATGTGTTTCTCTCATCCCGGTTAGTAGCAGAGGTTTATACGTAAACCTCTCCCTCCCTGTCCTCGAAGACCTCCACCGACCTACCACCACCTCCTTCCTCCTCCTTTGGCTCCTCTTCCTCCCTCCATCCATCCCTGTGATGCCTCCCTCGTGCTCTGGCTGTCTGTCACAATACACCCATCATCATCTGGTGGTTTTTCTCCTCACCTTCTTTAGGTAATCTTGAAAATTGGATGGTGAGATCTTGCTGTGTCGCTCTTATGGCGGTTATATTATAGGAACGTTTGGAGTCGGAGAGCGGGGTTGGATTTAGCAGGAGCGACAATAAAATATGCAATGATTTTTAACAAACAATCAGAGCGGAGAACAGATTAATATCTTCCCTCCAGTTTGTTACACTTTAAACTGCATTGGGGTCAGATTCCAGCCTGATTATGGATATGTGTTGATACAGCTTTCCTTTTCAATTGACTCCCTCTGTTTTACCCAAACTCAAAACTAACAACACATGAGCTGGTTCTCTCTTTCTAAAAGGAAATTTTGACACGACATACCACCAATTTCCCAGTGTTTGTGTCTTAATTAACTTTTAGGTCGCCCTACGTATGTCTTTCAAATCTTCACCAACCCCTTTTATTTTTTTGTACATGTCATGTTAAAGCATCAAACTTCAATGCATTACTGGGTTTCATGTGCTAGATAAACAGGAAGTATCACAGCAGTGGTACATAGACATAGAATTGGAAGGAGAAACTGTTAGCAGCAAACCTGTGAAAGAGGGACTGTGGTCAGAACTTCTGCTCTTCACATTATCCTCACAATATAGCATAATGGGGGAAGCAGCATGCTGAGGGGATGCTTTGTCTCCCTAAAACACATTCTAGTTGATGGTTACAATGTAAAAAATAAAAATTAAAAAGGATTGTCTGCATTATTATTTAACTTTCAGACAGTAGCGGCTTTCAGGAGATGACTCTAGCTTTGTCTAACATTCATTGTGTTCGTGTTCAGGATTAAAGGTCAACAAGGCAAGATTTACTCAGACCTTAGATTAGATAGAAATGGCTGTCAGTAATGATTTCCAATATATGTTTCTTACAACTTTAAAACTGTGAACAAAAGTTTTGTAATGAGCGATTGTTAGCTAGATAAACCAGCAGGACAAACGTTCTCTGTAATGATTATCTCCCTCCAGCTATGTGCTGCTGCATGCATCCAGGAAGACGTTCAGCAACGTGAAAGTCAGCATCTCGGCCCAGTGGACGCCGTCCGCCCAGAACCAAAGCGCTGCTGCCTTCTCTCCAGGCGAGGTGCCTAAGTTTAAAAGAACACAAGCTTTTTTGCTTTTTGGGGAATAAAGGAACTTTTATGGAAATCCAAATGAACAAAAACATGTTTTTGGCAAAACAAAAGAAAAAAGGGAAGGTTTTTATCACTTAGTGTGTTTTCTGTGACTATGCAGACATGGGAGGACAATCATCTCTTTGCTGATGAGAAGCAGGCAACGTTGTTTCTGGGAGCTCTGGATTCCATTTTCCTCTTCTCATACGCTGTGGTGAGTCTGGCTCTAGTTCCTTAGCAGAGGATTAAAATAAAGCAAAGCGTCACGGTGCGTTTGCTCCTCCCTGTGCAGGGTCTGTATCTGAGCGGCGTGATCGGGGACAGAGTCAACCTGCGCTACGTGCTCTGCTTCGGCCTGTGCGGGTCTGCCATAGTGGTTAGTACGCAGGGAACATGGCAAACGATCCAACTAACACTTGAAAGTAATTTTTGTTTCTTCTGATGCATGCACTTGCAGGAATTTGTTTTTGGCACCCTGACCGAATGGCTCCACATCTACAACGTCTACCTGTACTGCGGCCTGTGGGTGCTGAACGGCCTGCTGCAGTCGGCGGTTTGGCCCTGCGTGGTGGCCGTCATGGGCAACTGGTTCGGCAAAACGGGGTGTGTGATAACTTTGTGCTGAGCTGCATGCAGAGTCCTGAAATCTGAGGTCCAAAGTTGTGTGTGCACACATGCACAGTGAGGTCCATTCATAGACGCTCCAGCTGAAACACAGACTTCATTTAAGATCAGTTTTCCTCTGCAGGAAGGAACATAAATCACACGCTGTGCTGCTTTCTGCAAAAATAGTTCATGGATTTGTATATGGAGAACAAAAAAGAATTAATATATGAAGAGGAATTTGTCTAATCTTTTTTTTTTTCGCTCTTGGTTTCCAGGCGTGGATTCGTGTTCGGTCTGTGGAGCGCTTGTGCGTCTGTAGGCAACATACTGGGCGCCTTCCTGGCCTCAAGTGTGCTGAAATATGGATATGAGGTTGGTCAGTTAAAATATATCAGCTTTCTCTGATTTATTTTTATTTTTTAACCCCTTCAGGTAAAGAAGATTGGTTTAATTTCTCAGCATCTAGCTTACAGTAAAATGACATTTGAGGAAAAACCAAAGCAGGAGTAAATCTGGAAAAATAAACTTCTGTAAGCTAGATCTGACAAAAAAGTATCCAGCCAGATAATTGCAGCTTATTCTCTGTTTTTATTTACAGTAAAATCAAACAGGCTGCATGTAGCAAAACGTGGAGGAAGTTTGGAAAATATTAATCATCGTCTCTTGGTTTTGAATCTTATAACCTGGTATTCTAACTGCGATAATGAGATGAACCCTCATTATCGCGTTACCTTCTGTTACTTCGAGCTCCGCCCGGGTTCAGGCGCTGATGTGGAGTTTGTTGTGTTTCTCGTTGGCAGTACGCCTTTCTGGTGACGTCTGTGGTGCAGTTTGCTGGCGGGGTGGTGGTGTTCTTTGGCCTCCTGACCTCACCGAAAGAAATCGGTAAGGCTGATCGAAGAATGTAAAAAGGCAGGTGATCGGGTTCAAATGTTGAAGTGAGTCGTGTTGCGGTGTGGCAGGTTTGCACTTTGAGTTAGAAACCGGAGTCGGTGCGGTGGAGACGGACGCGGACAGCCACCGACCGCTGATGAGTGACGAAGAGGAGGAGGAGACGTACAGCCAACAGCGCCGCTCAGTTCAGACCCCAGACGAGCCAATGGAGGAGCCTCCCAGAGCCATCGGCTTCCTCCAGGCTTTCTGCCTGCCTGGAGTTCTGCTTGTGAGTCAGAATTAGTTCCCATAATGCATCCTGTTCAAATCCCCTTCAGCTCCTGATCTTTTCATTTAAAACTTTTCTGTCAGAAATGGTTAACATGTTGACGTAAAAACGTCTGACGGTGACATATGTCTCCTCCTCAGTACTCCCTGGCGTACGCCTGCCTGAAGCTGGTCAACTACTCCTTCTTCTTCTGGCTGCCCTTCTACCTGAGCAACAACTACGGCTGGAAGGAGGCGCAGGCCGACCGGCTGTCTGTCTGGTACGATGTCGGAGGAATCGTCGGTAATGACCTGAAAGGCGGAGGCGTCTGTGTGCCGAGTGTGACGTCACTGGAGTCTGAGTATCTGTGTGTTTGTTGCAGGGGGAACCCTTCAAGGTCTGATCTCTGACCTCATGGGGAAGAGGGCTCCAGTGTTGGTTTTCAGCCTCGCCATGGCGATGGGCGCCCTGGTGGGATACAGCCGTGAGTGTTTGCAGCTGCTTCCTTTAAAGCCTCTACTGAATGATGAGTTATAGTTTATAGAGTTTATAGTTCTGCCTTCTGAACCCTCAGGCTCCCCTGATGACAAGGTGATTAACGCAGCGATCCTCGCCGCCACTGGCTTCTTCATCGGCGGCCCGTCCAATATGATCAGCTCGGCCATTTCTGCTGATCTGGGGAGGCAGGATGTCCTGAGGGGAAGTCAGGAAGCTCTGGCTACTGTCACTGGGATAGTGGATGGAACCGGGAGCATCGGAGCCGCTGTAGGACAGGTGAGCCTTTAAACAAGGTACTTTCTAATGCTATTAGAAAAATTCAGCAGATGCCGTCATTACTTTAGTTCAGTATTGTAGCAAAACCTTTCACCATATTTTCATAATAGTCAATAATATTAGCATTTTACCCCCTAATGCCTGAATTTATACCCAGATGAACAAAAAATTTTGTTTTTTTGTGCTTTGCTGTCAGTCAGATGTTAGATAACATGGAGGTTTTTCATTTTAACATTTCATTCATAGTTAATGTACATTTAGACTAATTAGCAACACTTGGCATCTAAGACATAAAACCCATTTTCAGTCTAGGTTTGTTGACTATTTTCATTAATGCTGTTTTTCTTAAACAAGACTTGAATTAAGTCTAAACATGTTTATGAGATAATGGAGCTAATTCTTAGAAAATGGAGTCCATATTCCCTGGATCTGCAAGGCTTTTCTTTGCTGTAAGAAAACAGTGTTAGAAATTGACCTTTAACCTGTCTTTTTGAACAATGGTTGTATTTTTTATATCAGAGTGTTTCAAATTTCATGTTGCTGTGCTTCCCCTTTAGCTGCTAAACCCCTTTTCAATAAAAAGTCAGTGAAAAAATGTAATCAAAACAATTGCTATTTGATAACTGCTGCTTTTTTGTCAGTCAGTGTTTCAAATTCAGCTAAATATTTTATAAAATCACATCACTGTATAGTCCTAGGAGCTTTTTGTTTGCATGTTTCATAAATCAGTCTTGTGTTATGGGATTAATAACTCATTTATCATTTTGTTCATAGTTTTAAGCTATCGTTAGAAATTTGCAAAATGGAAATAAATTGATTTTGTAGACTTTTTCCGCAGTTATATCCTAATCAGTTCCTTAATTGCTTAAGTTAAAAAGCTTCAAATCCCCAATTAACTTTAGGAATTTAAGTCAGATGTTATCCATTCTTGTATATCAGTTGTAAAAAAAAAAAAAAAAACATTAATAAGCCTGTTTTTGATGCACAACCTGAGTCAGATTTAGAGAATTTAATGAATTCATCGGCCAAATTCAGTGTGTCTCACAGTGCAACCTTCCAAAAAATGTACCGTATTATGCATAAACCATGTAGGCTGGATTCAGACTGGAAGTGGTGGGAAGCTAATTACTGTAGTTTCTACCGTCCATAAAAGAAGCTCTGCTCCTATCAGGATAATCTGTGCATTTCTGGAGGCAATAGAAAAAACTGAAAATTCAAATATTTCAGGCCCCATTTTTCTCCAATACCTTTAATAAAACCCAGAGCCTCTAGCTTCCAGAGTTCACCTTTGCATCTCTAATCTTACAGTATCTGGTGTCGCTGATTGAGAGCCGGCTGGGCTGGATGAGTGTTTTCTACTTCTTTATCGTCATGGTAAGAAGACGCTTTTCTGTTTTCTGAATCAGGGTCATGATTTTAATTCATATCAGCTTTTTTTTTTTTTTTTTTATTTATGGTGTGAAACTCATAATTATTTGGTATCGACAGACGGGGGGAAGTATCGTCTTCATCTCGCCGCTGCTGGTGAAGGAACTTCGAGACATGTGGAGGAACAGGCAAGCTCTGCGGCACCAGCTCTAAGAGCCCGACCGCCTTATCAAGGACACCTCAGCGCGTTTGTTCCGGTTCTGATCAGTAGGTTCAGTTTGTCCAACTAGAGAACTTAAAAAGGTGCCTGCCTCCAGCCATACTAGTGTCTGACTTTTAACTTTATTATTTGATGTAAATACTTTCTTTTAATGCACTTAAGTTGAGATTCGAGTCTTAAATCAGAAACACGAGAGCTGTGAAGGTTGCGAATAATGATTTTTAGCTTTGTAAAGTTGCACTAGAGATCTGAACGAACCACTTTAATCTCAGTTGCCTCATCTGTTTTATCTTTACAGTCGAGATGGAAAACTGACCTGTAAACTTTTATTTTCACTTTCTTTTTAGCAGAATTTCTCAATTATTAGTTTCTGTCGCCCTACATAGTGATCACAACTCTCGTAAAGATCAGTAATCATAAAAACGTTAGAAAAAACGCCATCTTCTTACTGTGTTTACAGATTAACACCTGGATTTGATTCTGTAGCCTGCTTTTAGGGAGGGCTGAATGTGTTTTTACTTCAAGGTTCCTTAAAATAAAATCTAAATATTAGTATAAACTAGATAAAAAGAGAATAATGTTCTTTTATCTTTGATTTCGGAGCTAGGATATTTTCTCTTTGATGTAACATTTCAAAACTTGACAAGCTGTGCCATAAAGATGCCTCACTTTGTGCTTAATAATCAATCATTAAACCGATTGAGTTTTTTTGTACAAAGAATTCATCTAAGGCTGAAAACTAAAGATAAAAAAAACTTCTTTCTATCCACAAGATAAAAATGTCATTTTCTAATTAAAGGCTAAATCCTCTCATTAAAGAATCCCTTGTTAAATGTATATTTTAGCTCAACAAAATAGTTTGTGTAGAGCTGCAAAACCACCTTAACCCCTGCAAAAGATGTTTTTCAGAAAAAGTTTTTTTTTTTTTTTTTTTTTTTTTTGATTTTAAGGAAATAAAATGTTTAGATTTAAGTAAGAATTTCTATAAATACAGCTGCCTGGAAGAGGTTTTATTTACATAATTAACTGGTTATGAAAGAACAGAGCTTCAGGTTGCAGACCTGCTGCTATAAAGCATTTACCGGTAAATTAAACTTTTTATTTAATTTGTGATATTTTCAGAATGTAAATAATTACTTTAAAGTTTTTTTTTCTGTTTTTATCAGGGGTGTAAATTACAGAAGAGGATTAGGGCCACTGGAAAAAAAAAAAGTTTACTGATTTTAATATTTTATTTTAGTTTAGTATGGGGATTCTGACTTTAATCTCAGAATTCTGACTTTTTTTATTGTCTGAATTCTGACTGAATTCTGACAATAAAAAAAGTCAGAATTCTGACTTTTTTCCCATACTAAACTGAAATAAAATTTAAAAATCATTAAACTTTTATTTCTTTTTCCAGTGGCTCTAATCCTCTTCCGTAGTAAATAGATGTGAAGAGAGCTGCGTCTTTATTCCAGTTTGAGGCACAGGCTTTGAATCAATCTAGATTCTAGACTACCGGTAACTATATAACTTAAGCAGACCTCTTTAAAAATCACTTTTCTGGTCACATCAACCAAAATAATGCCTCTGTATTTAATGAAATCTTCCATGTTTGTTTTTTAGAGCCATCTGCTGATCTCTGATATATTTCTCTTACTTAGAAGTCTTTATACCTATAGTTCTCTCTGATCATTATGTGAACCAATTCTGTAAATAAGGAGAAAATCACTTTCAATACATGTAAAATAATTAAGGGGGGAAGTTTATATTCTGTTTTTTTTTGTAATTTTTTTTATTATTTATGTATATATTTAAACTAACTATTTCTGTTGTAAATAAATGCAAGTTTCATGTCATCCAACATTCCTTGAAGCTTTAGTTTTGCACCAAATCCAGCAGGGGGCGCCGTCAAGGCTTCACATTTAGCCTCTTCTTGGAAACAGAAACTGAAATGCAATAATTTAAGAAGCACAGCAGTTTCATTTATCATTATGTTTATTTTACCGATTGAACAAACCATATGAAATGTATTACCAAACGTTGGAGGGTAACAATACAAATATTATTCCAAAGAAGAAAAGATGCGTAACAAAAGCTACATCTTTACATGATCAGACGATACATAAACAAGCCTTAAATTACAATAGAATGTTACAAACTGTGTACAAATACTTTACATTCATGCATGTACAAAATAACAAAATTCTTGTTAAAGCTGCAAAAGAATGAAATGCAAGCTTTTTATATTTTTTTTTATCTCTGATGCATGGATTAATGCAGCTACAATAAGTTTCAGTCCAAAGTGTCCTTTCCTGTTTTCAGAAGAACTCAATATGCCAAAAAATAAAAGTAGTACTTCTGTATATAGTGCAAATATATAGTTTAGATATAACCTGTATGGGTAGACAGGAGGAAAGTAGGAATCTTAGACTTTTTAAGCTGAATGGGACGTTTTCTCAGGACGGTTCTTCATTAAATCTGTTTTTTTATATATATTTTGTTGCTTTATCCCCCCCATTGCTGCTCCACTTGCCTTATCTGTTCAGGGAAAACTCACACGAAAAGTGAAGCAAAACAAAAGCGGCCAAACCCACGCAGCAGCCCTCACCCCGCCTCCCAGGGGGCCACCGCTCTAACTCACCACAACAGAACCTCAATCTCTCTCTTCAATCTTCACTTTCATGTCCCCTAAACATAAATGGGCTCAGCTGCTTTAATGAAATCATCGAACATCTCGTTGAGGTAGTAAGAGAGGATAAATCCAGCATAATATGGCTATTTGTGTCAAACTACTGCTGCAATATCCCATAGATGGAGAACCCTGCCGACAGCAAACATCTAAAATCCTGCTCTTTCTGCTTCATATGGGCTGATGACATTAAAAGAGACACAAGAACAGAGCCATTAGCTGTTATTAATGAACAAAGATGATCAGAACATCTTGGATTTGTTGCCATCAAAGGCGCATGTGCTTAAGTCATTTTTTGGGCAAATCTTTAACCCTTTGGGGGAAGTTTGCATAAAAAATGGATTATGGACAATAAAAAGGATAAAAATAAATGTTGTCCAAACAATAAATCCCTTTGGGATCCATTCCCCGGCTGCCTGCATCTCTTTTCCCCAAATTGTGACATTCGCCTGCATGCAGAATCAAAGAACTGGATCGCAACGAAATATGCAGGAGAGAACTTTACTCTTTATGTTTTATGCTTAAAAAAAAGTATTTGAAATCTCTGGAGAAACTAAAAACACCACATTCCCTTAATGGATCAAAATAAATGGAAGATGCTACATATTACAAGCATAAAGCTGACTAAAACACTCAACATGTTCCATCATGTTGCTCAAACGATCGTTACAAACCCCTATTATGCTGATATTACAAAGCAAAAGTAGTTTATTTGTACATTATTATTATTCTTTGTTGAACTTTGGAGTTTTTAGTGACTTCCTGTTTAAAGCCTTTATAGATTTACAAAGTTGGGAGTGTTACAGAGATTGTCATCAAGTTCAAATGCTGCAAGGCACGGCAGTTTGTGGCCCTTTATCTTACCTCGTTTTCCACAACGGATTATGGTTATGCTCTTTTTTTTTTAGCTATTATTTTAGAAAATAATCTTGCAACGTGACAAATATAAATAATTTTTACTACTACGCTCCAGGCTGGAGCTAATGAAAGGGATGCGGCCGTTTTTTGACCCCTGATCTGACTCAAGCTTTTAGAGCCTCTGGGTGAAACCAAAGCACAGCGTGTGCTGAGCATGCCGGCAGTAGGAAACTGCTAAGATCGATAACAGGGAATGAGTTGGAACAAAATAATTATAATACTAATAAATGAACAGATCAGAGACTAATATCAACCTCTATAATCTGGTATCCTATTTTTTCTGTTTTAGGATCCTGAATGAGTGCATTTGCAATTATTTCACAGTATTGTAAAAAGCTGAGCAAAACCGTTTAGAAAAATACAGTATAAGTATATATATATCTATATATCTATATATATATATATAATATATATATCCACAGAATACTAGAATCCGAGCCTGACTAAATTAGGTAGCTTCCTTGTGCTGAAAATTAAACGCGAGGTGAATTCCAAGGTTTTAAGGCCCAAGCTTGTATGAGCTTATTAAATGTCTGGATTAAATTGCTACATATATACAAAAGATCTACATCAGGTTGAGTGTAGAGAAGTGGAGAGCACTTAGTGATGTTCCTCTGGAGGTGGTTACACTTTTCTACTGCCGAGAGGACGTTTTGCAATGCAGAAGCTTCCTCTTTTTCACCTTAAAGAAATCTGAAAAAAAAAACAATAATGATGATTAGATTCTTATCTAACAGCATGGAGAGGAAATGAAGCAGACGTGTGAGTAGCAGCGTCACCTGTGATAGCCGACTGTTTGCGTTTTTCTAGCCGCTCTAGTTGGTAGCGCCCTCTTGTGGTCACTTCCAGGTACTCGTCTCCGGAGCCTGACGAGCTGCTGGAGACGGGGGAGCTGTCCTCGTCTGATGACAGGGAGTTGCTCCTCACGTTTCTTCTCGCTGTGACCCGAGGCTTTACCAAGCAGGTCCTGTAAAACGCCGGCACGTCCTGGCACCTCAGCCCCTCCCACTCCACGCTCGCCCCCTCGCCTGGCATGTCCCTCTGGAAGTCGAAGTTCCAGCGCTTGTTGGCGACCTCCACGCTCATTCTGAGGAGCTGCTGGAATTCCTGCTGGAGCTGCTGGTGGTCGACTGGGCCGAAGAGGTTCCTCCGGGCGGGACCGACTCTCAGCTTCAAGGCCTCGATGCCTTGGAGGTTTGACATCTCCGAATCAGACGTCATGTTTCCTCTGGATGTTGTCGACGTAGAAGCCATCACCATGTCCCTGTTTGGTAAACAAATTCAAACACAAGTGTAAACATTCAGGAACATCTAAAGAAAGAAAATAGATCCATCTGCGTTTTACTCCACAAATGACCGTTATTTGCGATGTTTCTGGATCCAACCTACTGAGGAATCACTATGCCAGCGGGGACGTCAGCCAACACCCAATAAACCTCCGACCTTTTTAACAACCAGCTGTGTCTAAAAGAACCAGAGTCTCCACCTGCTCTGGAGCCTGCCAGTCAAAGGTCACACAGGAGAGGTCCATGAAGGCCTGTGGTGAGGAATGTTTCCTGCTTTCTCCAGTTAATTAGAGCAATCCAGCTGAATTCCTAGATGCAGCTTCAACCCATTTTTCAGCTCTCTGTGAATGAAGCTAACTTACATCTGCCTCTAAGAAAATGAACAGACAGAATTTAACATGGTGTTCCGTAGTAAGGTGCTGGTAGCTATTAAATAAACATTACCTCTGGTAATTATGTGGTTACATAAATGTATTCATATAATATTAGAGTGCACTAAATGTGACTTATTTTGAAGTAAAAAAAAGGAAGTAGAACTGGAGTGGTTTTGTTGCATTTATTAAAATATTTTTGGTACAAAAAAAAGACCATGAGCCAAGATAGTATCTACTTCAAGGTTCTCTTTCTGTGCCAAAGGGCTGTTTCACTTTTTTATAACTCCTTTTTTTTTTTTTAGCCTACATTTATTTCAAAATAAAAATCCAAACTGAATCATTCACTAAATGTAGATTGCACATAATGCAGCTTGGGATTCATTCAATTTATTTCTGAAAAGGTGGGTTTTTAAATTATCCCAGCAGTTCCTTTTTTTTTTCTAATTTTATACCAATTCCAATAAATTCTACTTTTAAAATTTCATTTTGGTGCAATCAGATATAATCTTTCATATGGAGGGCATTCAAAGTTGCCTGCTACTAACCCTTTAGGGAAGAAAACACTAAGATTAAATGCTTGTATAATATTTTATAATGGCTATAGTCTTCCTAAAACTGTTTCTGATTGGTAAAACCTTTAATATTATCATGGAATATTTATACATGTATATATTTTTTTTATTTTATTTTGTTTTTTTAATTCTCTCAGAATTGTTTCTAACAGGAAATATCTTCTCTTAGCCAAATGTTTATTCCCTAAGTCTTAAAAGAAGGCATACTGGGTGGGTATCTGTTTATTTAAAGCATTAAGATCTAATCTAGGGCTGAGGAAAAAAAACTGTGACCTACTAAACTTAATTTAGGAGGAGCTCCAACTACTTTCTGTTTACTTTTCAATAACCTGAACGGTAAGATTGCGTGCTTAAAAATAACCAAACAGGGTCAAATTAGTATGAAGGCAGGTCCCCTGAGGGGCGCATGCTTCAGCTGAGGGACACATGGAGAACAAAATGTACAGAATTTGTGAAAACAACAACCAGAAAAACCACGCCTTAAAAGTAACCTGGCATCCTCTAAGAAGAATAGAAAAATCTGATTTTTTTAAGCTGAATTAAAATATTTTTCCTAATTATTTCTCCTGAGAGGTTTATTATTGCCAGTGAAAGTTGTTTGCGGAGAGTGGAGTGGGCGCGGTGCGTTCGCGGCTCAGGTTTCCAATGCAGTTTCCCCGCTTCCAGAAAGAACGGAGGAAAAAATGAACAACTATCATTCAATACAACTAAAATTTAAAGCATGAATTTTCACAGTTTTTTGGGGGTTTTTTTACTTGTAGAAACGCTAAATAAATCCAGTGAGAAGCGCTGGTGTGAAGGTGAAGGCTCGCGCTGCGTTCAGTGACGCAGTTAGATTCAGAGGATGTGGGTTAATGAGATGCGACACACAAACACCCACACATCAACATCAACTTTTCTGCAATAACACACATAAATTCCTCTCGTGAAATAAATGTGGACACATTTTAAATCGAAAATTAACAAAAAAAAGTATTTTTTTAAAAAGTCGATATTAGAATTTTAACGAACCTTGTGCGCAAAAAAAAGGAAAAACTGAACAAAATCAACTTACCATCAGCGTAAATATCGTAATATGAATCACGGAAAAGAATAACTGAATTCAAAAATCCAGTGGATATAAACACCGACACGCTGTCAGCCCACGGAGAGGTACTCACAACCCTCTTATCTGCGTGACCTGTTTGTTGTGGACCCAGGAGACAGGGGACGTCCTAAGCCAAGCAGATGTGTCACGTGGTTTCCGTCAAAACAGTCACTCTACATTCCCATCGCCAGTAAACGCAGCGCGCGCTCCGCTCGCAAATTTCAGTTAGCGCACCAAAAACTTTGCGTGCATTTTACCTTTGGCCAATTTTATCACCTTAGAGTAAGAAGAAAATGTCCTCCAGCTTCTCTCCAAACCTCCTGCTTGTTCTGCTCCTCTTCTCCTCCTCCTTTCTCTCCGACTGGACGAAACTAGGTCAAATATTTTGGCAACCGCCGCCATTTCCCTACTTCCTCAAATGTGACACACATTCCCGTGCATGCCCTTTGCGTCACGTTTGATTTTGGCACCTCGCCCGCAGCCTCAGTCACGTTGAGCTGCAACGTGAGTGGGAAGACTGTGTCCTGCTGGAGCACCGCCACATCCAGCAGCAGTGGGAAACTATTTTAGTTTTCCCGCGAAAAAGAAAAGTGGCACTGAAGCGGCCTTCACCCAGGCTTCAGCTGACCTACTAACCTAACCTCAATGTAAAATCACTGCAAATCTCCATTTTTATAGTGTTTTCATCCCTCTTGGATTTAAAACCTGCAAAGTGTCACAGCTTTGCACATTTGCAGACAAAAATATTTGCCAATTCCTAATCGAAAAGATAAAAAATGTTCTCAAATTACATGAAGAGCAATTTTTAAGGCTTGCAACAGGACTTTGAGCACTGTAGCACAGACAGGTGGTTGCACAAGGCAGCATGAGAAGGGGTCAAATTGCACCATGCACCTGAGAAAATGTGTTTTGAGCTAAATTAATTTTGCTTTTTTATTTCAAGACTTTGATTTGTGCTGCATCTTTAAATAAAATTAATCCATATACATTTTATTCCACTGCAGAGTTTTAGGCATCCCCAAAGTCGGTCCTGGAGGGCTGCTGTCCTGCAGGTTTTAGACATGTCTATGCTCTAGCACAGCTGATTTACATTGATAGTTGATTAACAGGCTTTTGCTGAACTGCAATTATCAGAATAAGCTGTGCTAAAGCAGAGAAACCTCTAAAACCTACAGGTCATTTTGGTTGAGGGGGTTTGCAGAGATAAAGTCCCTATAAGAACCATGGCTTAATGAGCCATTCTGACACTCAGGCGTCCAATATATTAATCTTTATTACTCAAGTAGAAGTAGAAATCCTGCTGTTTAAAAACACTTTTGTAGAAGTTAGAGTATCAACTTAAGTAATGCAGGAAAAAAAGTTAAGGACAGATACTTTACTGCACTCACTTATGAAAGGAACATCTTTCTACAATTCTGGATGATAATTTCCTTATACTTTATTTTCTTAGTTTTATAGCTCATGGCAACAGTGCAAATGTAACTTTGCATCATCTTGTAAAACTTTATTTTTATACCGTGTCCAACCACAAAGAAAATGTTTGGATAAAGCAAATTATTTTGATGTTTTTTTTTTTTTTTATACCAACAGGCCATAACAAGAATGAGCTTTAATGAAAGAAAACTTATGAGTCTATTTTCAAAATGCGAGGAAAACAGTAGAGATAATTGCAAAAAAGAAATGTAAGTACAATAGAAGTAAAAAGTTATCTAAAGAATAATTACTCCAAAATTTTGACTTAAGTAAGGTATTAAAGTATTTGTACTTTGTTACTTGACACCTTAGTATCCATGGCAACTTCAGCTACTGTATAGAGTAATTTTCCTGTAGGGAGATTAATCTTCTTTCCAGTTTTAAGATTTTTCAATGTCTATAAAGTTTTTTTCTTTTTTTTTTAAGGATTGCCTTATATTTAGCTTTATTTTGGTCGTGTTAAAGAAAACCATCTGTGCTTTAATCAGCTAAGTTTGTCAGGATAAAAATAGCTACCGTAATTAAAAGTGCAAGGCATAAGTTTTGGATTTTAATACAAACCAACCTTTCCATTATTTTCCCCCCACTTCCCAACAATGTTCTTTTTCTCTGTCAAGTAAAACCACAATGAATTATTTGATTAAAGTTTCTGACTGAAAAAAAGTGTGTTGGAAAAAATAACCTGTTAAAAGGGAAATAATACTCTTGTGAAGATTCACACCTTATGGTGAAAAAGCAGTGAACTACACACACTGCTAAAGTAATAGAAATCTACAATCAAACACAAGCTATGATCAAAAAACACCTGAAACTATTTATGCTTTATGTTTTTTAAGCCAAGATATTTTATAGCAACAATAAAACATTAACAGCCTGCTATTATTCTCATTGCCATTTTCTATATCTTAAATCCAAGTAAACCTGCCTTCTACTGGTTTTTATTTTTGGGGTATCAGAGTAAAGGGTAAGGATTTTTTTACCTAAATTGAATAAATCTGATTGTGTCCCTTCTTGCACTTATTGCATTAGTGGTGTACCCTCTGAGAGGCCCGATCTGCAGCCAACGCCCCTCGCTCAGAGGCGCTGCTCCAAGTTTTACTTCTACATTTTTTTTAAAATGGTCGACTCTTTTCACACAGGTCTGCAGATCCAACAAGCCGTGTTACTCTTGTGAAACTTTGTTCATGTTCAGCGACGTCAAACAATGAAAGTCTTGTGCTCCTTGGTTTAATCCCCCATGAGAACGTGGTTTAGTATTCAGTTTTTAGGTCTCTCTCATGAAAACAGGTGACGTGTGACCCTTCCTCCTAATGCTCCATAAATCTGTGTGTGTAGGAGCCTAATGGGGACGTTGTGAGCTGTATTTACAGTCAGCTTGTTGTTCCACATTAAATGCCTAATCCCTAATCCCCCCCACCCCACCATCGTTAGTCTTATGCTACATGTTACATGTGGCCACGCAGTCATAAAGCCCATCGTTTTACCCCCCTTTGAATACATTAGCACGGCTGAAAACAACAGTCACACAGCGCAATGTGACTCAGCCTCCAAACACTGGGAACTGTCATGGTGGGTCTTGTGTTTCCCACATTCCTTCTTTTCAATAAAGACAAAGGATACAGCGGAGGCTCTGTTTTAAAGTCATTATCCTACACCTACAGCCCCCCAAAGGCTTAAACATCCCTGTTTAGTCGACAGGCCAACGAAGGAGATCTTTAATCGGGTAACTCTGGAAAGGATGCGCAGTTCTTGTGCCAGAATATCTGGCCTTTTGTGCAAAGGGGAGAAGAAGAAAGCGGGGTTATGTTTTTAGTTGGGCTGAAGCCATACAAGACTAGAGAAACACATGGAAGTAGGTGCTTTGATCAAATTAGACCAGAATTAAACATGTATGATTGGGAAAAGTGAGATGGCATTCCAAGTGTTAAACATAGAGGTGGCAGCATGATGCCGTGGGATCTCTTTTAGCTGGAAAAGGGAACTCGTGTGTGAAAAATGATAGGAAGCATTTGCATTGAAGTTCCCAATCCTTTCCAACTCGTCTGCATCAACATCAATTTGTGTTTTTGTCAAACAGCTGCTTGCAACTCAAAGTTCATCCCCCAACCACAACTATTTGGTGCCGAAGGATGTTGAACGAAACCTCAGGAAGATGCCTTACACGTACTGTGAGTCAGTTTCCTCTCTGCAGGAAGTGGAAGAAGAAGAAGAAGAGAAAAGGATGGCGGCAGAGAGCAGGTTTTTGGTTCACAGGTGCAGCGTGGGGGTTTCCACGTCCCTCTGTCCTTCAGCTGCGGAAGCGAGCGCTGCAGAGAGTCTCACCGCAAGACGCTAGCTTGTTTACGTCAACTCCCAATTTCCTAACACGCCACAACAAAACGCAAACAATGCAAAGAGGTGTAAAAAACGACATACCAACGACGGGATAGGGTTGTTAGAGATGAAGAGAGAAAAACAGTATATGTAGAAGGATTAGGATGACTTAAAACAGATTACGGTAATTAAAAGATGCACAACCTGGAATTTCTTGATACATTTCCTCCAGGAGGCTTCTTCATGTAAAGTGGGAATTGTTTTTTTTATATATATATATTCAGTAAATCATACTGCTGCCACACGTCTACCCACTTATTATTTATCTAAACCACAATGGGAGGTTGTTTTTATTAAATAAACCGTTTTTTTGCTTTTTTTATGTCATACCACAGCATCTAAGTTATATTTAATGCCAAATTTGGAGTGGGTTAATCATTTTGGACTAGTATGTTACATTTATTTTATTTTTTTTCATCTAAAATCCTTTACTAGTTTAACTCCAAATGTAACATGACACACCTCTTCAACAGACCTCAGTATGTTTCTCCCCTGAAGTCTGGAGAATCAGCAATATATTTTGTTTTTTATTCGCAGATAAGAAAGTTTCTGTTCTTTTTTAGTCAGTTCTGTTTTTGTCCCTTGGAGATCTCCGTCTGATGCTTTCTTTCCAGGTTTCTTTCATGGGGTCTGCAGTACTTGTAGATCTTGTTCTTGCTTCCTTTAGAACTTCCTGGACGAGCTATTAATTCTTTTTCCAGGAGGCTGAACTCTTCCATGTGTTTATGGACAATGGCTGATATTGTGGTTCCAACGCTGCAATACTCTGCGCCTCGAAGGCTTAAAAAATGGCTTGGTCACCCTTTCCAGACTGATGGATGGAAATATGTTGAAATCTGTCTTTGAACTTCTTTAGACCATGATGTAATGCATTTTGACATTTTTAGTGTACTTCACAGTTTTTACTTGACTTAGTTTTCGGTTTAGCAGTACTTAGGCCTGGATGTGGGCTAATCAAACCAAAAAAGTGAGCTTTATCAAAGGTATTTGTCTAAAGAAATGGATTTCTTTTTTGTCTTTCATGTTAATTGTATTATCATCTACAAACTGTATGATATAATGATTTTTTTATGGTGCAAAAGGCATATGAATAGATATTTCACACAATATTCAAAAGGTCTTGCTAGCTCAAAAGTTACTTTAGCAAAAGAAAAAAATGGTGGTCTGATTTTTCTTCCTGTATGTGTTCGTTAGTCTCTTATTTGCATTTGTTCGTCTCAATTTTGAGCTTAAAGGACCTTTTGGATTTGCTGTGAAATTATGCGTTTGCACTTCTCCGCCACCGTAATTTTTGTGTGAATCTAAAATCTACCCAAGACTCTGATGCATTGTTTAACATATAAAATTGAAACAATTTTGCTCATATTTT